GGCCAACCTGCCCCGCTTCGGCCTACCCCAGTCTGTTCAGCCATGCGCTTCTGAGATTAATTGTGGCTTTTGATCTCTTTCAAGATTTATTTATGAGTCTCTGAAGCAAGGCCAATAAATGAGCTTGTACAACTGAGTAAGAGGTGGTTTGTGGGCGTGACACCCATATACCTTTTTGGCCATTTACTTTCTCAGAAAACTTGGTCTCAAGTTGTTGGCATCTGGTGAGAGGCACAGCAGCTGTTGTGGGGTATCAGGAAGCCTAAAGGCACCATCAGCTGCTGATGTACATGCCCCACAGGTACAGGTTGACCTGCTGGTGGCACCACAGCCCCCCGCCTTAATTCTATTTTTAAGCACAGCGAGTAGGGCATCTGCCTTGCACACAGCCAACATGGCCGACCCGAGTTCGATTCCTCTGCCCCTCTCTGAGAGCCCGGCAAGCTACCAAGAGTATTCGATATGCCAGACACAGTAACAACAAAGTCTCCAATGGAGACGTTACTGGGCCCGCTCGAGCAAATCGATGATCAACGGGAGGGCCTTTACTTTACTTTTTTTATTTCATGAACTCAGATTTTTTTTTCACCTTCCAGCACCTTAAAATGGAAAGTTTTCTACCAGCATAGCACATAGTCACGAGCGCAGGGACGGGCAGGGCAGGACACCACAAGCCAGCAACAGACAGCAGGGCAGGGAGGGACCCTAAGAATGCAAGAAAGTTGGGGCCAGAGAGATAGGACAGTGGGTAGGACATTTGCCTCACACATATTGGACCCGGATTCAACCCCTCCCCATATGTGGTCCCCTGAGCCCACCAGGACTGACCCTTGAGTGTAGAGCCAGGAGTCAGATCTGAGCACAGCCAGATGTGGCCCAAACAGAAACAAACCAAAAATGGAAGTGGGAGAAAGCTCCACGCGTGATTCTCTCAGACACCAGAGACCCACTGAGCTCTCAGCAGAGGGGCCATGATGAGGCTGACCTTGAGGGAGGTGAGGGGCGCTGGGCGGCATCGGCATCCAGCAGCCTGGACCCAGTGTCCCTATGGCAGGCCTGCAGGGAAGAGACCCCACGTGGCTCTCCAGCATCACTGACCAGACTTGTGGAAGAGGAAATGCAATCGGAGCAGCAGGTGTGCTAAGAACTGAGCCAGGTTGCTAACCTCAATGAGAAAAATGCTGGTTTCTGGGAAAGAAAGGAAAAGTGAGTTTGTGAGCAGGACCTCAGCTTGGAAAGCAAATCTGATGGTTACCTAGGCACCACCCCAGTCTACACAAACACTTCTTCCCCCCCAAAGCCCCTTGCAGAAGTATATAAGGATGTGGAACAATTTCAGTTTCAGGGCACTCAGTGACATTGGGTGCAGCGCATCTGCCGCTCCCTGGAGCCTCACTTGGGTCCTGAGACCCCACAGCCCACAGAAGCTTCAGGGAAAACGCTAAACCACAGCATATGCTGCCTGCCCGGATGGCACCGAGAACCACAGGATGCTGGCCATTCAGTGGCAGGCCACCACTCCCTATCCACCCACAGTGGCTCCAACACGCTCCTGCCCCAGCAGACGCTGCAATGCTCTCATTTATCTCTTCACCCTGCGGCTGGTATGGGGGAAGTAACAGAGATCCGGGCTGTTGTCTGGACAACCAAAGCAAATATAAATCTCTCTGGGAGGCGGTTTGTAAGTGCACATGTACAATCAGACACACACAGAAAACATTTTTTTATAAAAAGATCCTCGCTTCCCTCCCAGCCTTCCCCCACTCCGGCTGCCACGTGGCGATGTGTGCTAAAAACACACACTGGGGAACTTTCCACCTCTGGGGCTGAAACAGCTGCTGCCTCAATATTGTTTTTGTTAGTTTTTTTTTTTCTAACCTACTTTGCTGTTTTTAAGGGCGTTGTTTTTAAGCTATGTGTTTCATAATATTATTGGAAATTATGAAGAGGGACAACTTGCACTGCAGCAGCAATAAGGATAATTACAGAATCCAAGGGTTCACTGAGGACCCTTCCTGCCTGGCTAGGCCCACAGAGGTCCAGACTTATCCAGGGAACAGCAGTTCGAGGGCCAGAGAGATAGCTCAAAGGGCCAGAGCACAAGTCTTTTATGCACAAGGCCCTGAGTTCAATTCCCAGTTCCGCTGGTGGCCCAGCACTTCTGGGTCCAAGTGGGACCACATCACTGACCTGAACATGGAACTCTCTGGCCTGGACAGCTGGACCAATGCCGCCCAGACTGGATCCTGGGCCCTGGAGCACTGCTTCAAAAGAAGCCAAAGGGAGCAGAGCAAGAGAGAAGAGGAAATGATTGGGGAGGGAGAGGGAGGGGGATTCACAAAGCCTCGCTGGGCTGCCCACATGTGAGAAATCCACCCATGCAAAGAATGAGGGCTATGAATTAGGACAGGAACCCCAGGCAGCCCCTGGTTCTTCCCCAGACACAAAGCACTCAGAGAATGTTCCAGAGCACTGTCAATTCCATCCAGGAACATGAGCCCGAGGAAGAGCCCACTAGTGTGACAAGAGGTTGAAAGGCAGTCTCCACCCGTGGAAAGGACACAGCCCAGGGCCACTCTGGGAAGAAAACCTGAGCATAAGGGAGCAGGGAGCTACCCCACTCAGGGAAGTCTGCCCTGGTCATGCAGGAACTGTGGCGACTTCCCTCGCTGTGTGCCCAGAAAGGAGCAGGCAGACCAGACTCGCCTCTCCAGGGAGCCAGCAGGGTTTCCATGACTCAGCTCCACACAAAGGGGTCCCCACCTAGCGTGTTCTGAGCAGAGTGGGTGTGCTAGGATCTGGGTTGCGATGGGGTGTCAAAGGGGCAGGCAAAGGCTAAAAGCTGGGCGGGAGAGATGGCTCAAGGCACTGGAGCGCAGGCTTTGCACATGCAGGAGGCCCAGGTTCAAGCCCAGGCACGTCCTGGGCCCCTGGCTATCAAAATAAATAATAATCAGTCAATCGATAAAAGCCAGGAAGATGCACATTCGTCACATGCAAGACTTCATCCAGAAATGACAGCCCTCCCAACAGAAAGGAAATTTTTTGTTAAAAATTTGGCAGTTCAGTTCAGTTCTGACCACTGACCCACAGGGTTTGTTCTCAGATCAAGAAGATTAAATGGCTTTGACCTTCCCCAAGGCTCCCTCTCAGACAAGGGGCATATTTGGATGAGCAGCCAGGGGACAAGCTGCTGCACATACCTCGCCCAGAGCAGGACAAGTCAAACCAGGCACCTTAACAAACACTAGTGTGGCTAGTGGGGGGGGGGGGGGGGGATTGGACCATCCAGCTAAGATAAGCTCTGAACTTCGTGAGACCAGAACGGCAAACCACTCTGGAGAAAAGTGGGCTAGCGTATGGACGCACGGACTGAGACATCAATGCTTCGGGAGATCTTTCTGCTCTGCCTGACAAGATTCTTTCTCCCAAACACTGCTGCTGCAAAGAACTAGCAAACAAGGGCGAGGCACTGAATCCAGGAAGCCACTAACAAAAGTATATTTAGCTCTTGGGAGATAAGATAAAAAGAAGAGACTCCCTCAGCTCTTCACCGCCATGTCTGGCTAACAATCCTGGAATCACAGGTTAGCAGGAAGAGTCATCACATATCTTAGAAGCTCATCGTGATATTCTTCCTTGTAAAGAGGTAAGGTGTCATTATGCCCACTTTATGGATGAGATGACTGAGGCACTTGTCTAAACTGCACAGCTGGGAGGAGAATGAGAGAACTCAGGGTTGCTTCCCATCTGACAAGCAGAAGCATCTAGAACAGAGCTTCCCAAAGTGGGCAACACCGAATTCCCCCCTTCTCCCTCCCTTTGAGGAAACAGGGGAGATGACTCTGGAAAGATTTGGGGTGGGGGACAGAAACAGGCTAGGTGCTACTGAGAGGAGCTTTGTTCTTTCCCTTAAAGAAGGCCGATTTCTAGGTGGGGGCTAAACAGTCTTTTTTTTTTTTATCTGAAACAGGAAAGGGGGTCGAGGGTGAAGTAAGTTTGGGAAGCTCTGCTGGAGAGTCTCATCCCTAAATACTGAAACTGAAGATAAAGTTGCTAGACTGCAACCTAGATGATGAGGAGAAAGCATTTTGCGAAAGCAAACATTTCTTCTGTCCCCATGGCCAGTCCTGACCCAGGCAACGTTCAGCGGGGTGGCGGTGAAGCGCGGTGTCCCTCCCCGGGCACCCAGGGAGGCTGCCGTGGCCGCAAACAAGGACAAGTGGAACTTCTGGGATTTCCTTTTGGAGGATGCCAGAGACCGAAAGTGACTCCTCAGCACTGATAAACTTGGTGGCCAGAGAGCAGAGCCGAACGCGGGCCAGGACAGGAGACTGGCCGCCGCGCTTCCGGCAAACTGGGCAGTCTGGAGTCAGTGAGGGCTTGTGCGGGACAGTGGTGGGCAGGAGTGGGCGCGGGGCTGCGCTGCACCTCCTCTCCCCTGCACTGGCACCGTCAGTGATTGGGTCCACTCTCTGCTCCCGCTGGTACTGGGCGGATGGTGTTCCTGGGCGAGCAGCTTTGCCCCGGCAGGCCCCGGCCAGCCCCCAGCCCCTCCGCAGCGCCAGGACTTGGCCGCGGTGTCCCAGAGCGCCCTGCCCCAAGCTCACTCTCTGTCCCCTCGCCTTTCCTCCGCCTTCTTCGTTAAAAAAAAAAAAGACAGTGCCTCCGCAAAGTGACCTCAACTCTCCGCAGGAAGAAAACTATCGCCCAGTTCTCGCAGGGGACACCCGGGGGTCCGACCGCAGGGGACACCCGGGGGTCCGGGCGCAGGGGACACCGGGGAGTTCGGCCAGCGAGACTAGCCGCAGGGGACCTACGGCCCGGCCGCAGGGGACAGCGGCTGCAGGGGACACCCGGGTGTCCGGCGCAGGGGGTCCGGCCGCAAGGGACACCCGGGGGTCCGGCCCTCAACACCAGCCGCAGGGGTCCCGGGGTCCGGCCGGGTGCGGAGGGCGCGGATCGGGAGCCGCAGAAAGGCGTCGGGGGAGCACACTCACCCCGAGAAGGCACACTTTGAGCTCCCGGATCGCCATCCTGTGCTCGGGGCCCGGCCGCAAAGGGGCTCAGCATCCTCCGGGCCTCTGCGCCGCCCTCCCCGCCGCTCCCGGGCCGCCAGCACCTACGCGTCACGTGGCCTCGGGCTGGGCCACGCCCCCGCCCGCCCGGCCACGCCCCTGGCCCTCCTGGCCACGCCCCACCGAAGCGCCCTCGGCCTCTCCTGGGGGGGTTGGGGCGGTTGAGGGCAGTTCTCTGTCCATCCGGAGGCCTGCGGCCCCAGGCTGACGCTAGACCCCCCACCTCCCGGACACCGCTGAGGATCGAGGCGCGCCCTGGGGCCTGCCCCCAGCCTTCTCCCAGCTCTGGGGTCCGACCACAGAACTCCTAGAGGCGACTGCCCGCTGCGTCCCACCCCCCACCCCCACCTCGCCCCGCAGTCCCAGCGTCTCTGCTGGGGGAGCGGTGCTGGTGACACGGGGGGGGCAGGGGGGCTTTGCTCCCTGTTCCTGAGATGGAAACTGCCCGGAATGCCTAGGCACCTCACGGACACTGCAGATGGGAAAAGTCTATTGTTGGGGACTGCCCGCGAGACTGGGCCCGGGGCAGAATGCTTGGGAACTGTGCCCGGATGGACCTGGAACCCTGAGTTAGCTGCCCACAAAGAACCCCGGCTTGTGTTTTTGCTTTGTTTTTTAATTTGGGAGGTGTGTGTGTGGGTGTGTGTGTGTGTGTGTGTGTGTGTGTGTGTGTGTGTGTGTGTCCCAAGCAATGCTCGGGACCAGAGTCTACCCTGCCAATCTTGCCAGGGGGATCAATACTAGGATTTGAAGGTGCAGGGGGTCACCAGGGTCACTCCTGGTGCTTGGGTGCCTCCAGGGCTATGTCCACTGGTGTTGAGACCAGCATATAGTTGATTAAGGGTTCAGGAACATGTCAGCCCTGAGCTCTGAGCTGCGTCCCTACCTCGAGACCCCTGTTTTTCAAATCCTCCTCTTCTGTCCCAGAACCCCCAGGCATCTCACTGACTTTCCACCTTAAATCCACCGTGTGCCCCAGATGACCTCCCACCCAATTATTGGACTTTGTTCCTGTGACCTTGTGGAAACTACCAGACTCCGGAGTAGCGCCGTACTCGCAACATCAAAGCCCAGGTCTCCAGATAGAATGCAGGGTACTCTATGTACAGAATGGAGTCGAGACAGACCCCCACGTGCACAACTGACAGTTTCATTCCCTAGAGAATCGAATTTCTTCTGAAAGGTGCAAGATTGTGGATTATTCATTCACTTAGATCTGGACTCAGCTCTTCCCAAAGTCACCACAGACCATACACAGTTTTACTCTCCATGGAAATCATTGTACCAGTAATACCTGTCCTCAATAAGGAGTCCAAGTTAGACCAGTCTCCTATTGGGCCTGCCTGGAATTAGCCCAGCCCAGCTCACAGTACACTCAGGGCTCAAATGTGCTGTTTTCACAGAGTTGCAAGAGACAACTTGGCCATGGCTTCCAGTGATGGTATATATGACTTGAATATCCATGTAGAAGCACTTCCCTTGGCTTTTCTTCTCTTTTCCCAAAAGCCCATTAATCAAGAGTAGACGTCTTTTCCATTTTCTCTGTTCAGCCTGTGGCATGAGTGGGAATTTACAGGGCAGGACCAGCCTAAAGGACAGTTTCCCCCAGGGCATTCTGAGCAGGCCTTCAAAAGACTTGTGGCTTGGTTATGTGCTTCATTCCAGCAGTGGTCAATGCAGGCCCTTCAGGGTCAAGAGATGGTAACACTACCTTAATCACCTAGAAGAATGAAAACTGGGCTTATTAACTAGAATTGGTGCATTTACCTTACCAGAAATAGCCTTTTCATAAGAGATAACTATCTATAAGGCAGTATTGCAGAATTTTCACCAAAAACCAGCAAAAAAAAAAAAAGCAGCAAGCCTTGAGAAGTGGAAAACACTATTTTAATTATACCAGCGCCTAAGTGAATTTGTGCTCCAAAAGTGGGCTTAGAACAAAGGCGAGAGCTTTGTTTTACAGAATATCTGATGGAGGTTGAGGCATTGGCAGACAACTGGCAAGACAGCTTCTACAGAAGTAGAAATTTCCAAGCACATAATTTTGCAAAGCAGGGCCTGAGCACATGAGCTCAAGGACATGAGCACATTTGGAGGACATTTCCAGGTTACCGAGTTTACAAAGCAAGACTTGGACCATCAAGGACATCTTGATTGGGACTACAAGATCATGTCATGTGGCTCAGACTCAGCTGACCCTTGGTAGTTCCTGCTCTCTGGTGTTAGCCAGCTTGAACTTTACCTGTATGAAATATGTATTTGCCTCATCAGCAGGGCAAGCATCTGCTTATAGAGCTCTGATCTTCCTCTTGAATCTTGGTCTCTGTGCCTGGTGGGTCCCCTTTATCTTAAAAGGCACTTAAGGTCCTGGTCTCTTTCCCCATTCCTGAGCTTAGGATGTATTCACTGTGCCCCCATTGGATCTGGAATGTGCATCTCTGTGGATTCTCCCTACGTATGTAATCCCACCCCTCCCCCCTTACCAACCTGTCTAATAATAATTCAACTGCTGGCCCAGCCTAAGGAGGAAAAAAAGAGGGGGTAGTAATGGAAACTTTCCTGTCTACTTCTACAATCCCTACAGAAAAAAAGAGGACATTATTTCTTGCCTCCTCTTACTGTATTTCATGATTCCTCTCATTCCACTCTCTTTTCCACTCTGTGTTTGGGACATTTTTGTGGTTTCTAGGCTCTTCCAAAATAGTCCCTTCTAGAAACAGACAGTACAAGGTTTTACAGCCCTCGGCTTACAAGCAACCAACACGGCTTTGATTCCCATGCTGCACATGGTACCCCTACCAGGATAGATCATAGACACTGCTGGCTGTAGACCACCTCCCAAAATGAAAACAAAAAATGAACAAGAATAAAACAAAATAGTCCTTTTCCACCCCAAGCCTGAGAACCACTGCTTCTCTCCCTCCTCAACCCCATGCAAAATGGACTCATTCATGTGTGCAGCCACTTTGCAAAGCTGTGTCCTGCTTTATAGATTGACAGTATTGTCTTGGGGAGTGGGAGATAGAGGGAAGCACACCCAGTGGAGCCCAGTAATCCTTGGCTCTGTGCTCAGAGATCTCTCCTGGACCATATGTGGTGCTGGAATCAAGCCCTGGTCAACCATGTACAAGACAAGTACCTTAACCCCTGTAGTGTCCCTTTGATCTCAACACTAGTGTCTTTCTTTTTTTTTTTTTCTTTTTGGGTCACACCTGGTGATGCACAGGAGTTACTCCTGGTTCATGCACTCAGGAATTACTCCTGGCGGTGCTCGGGGGACCATATGGAATGCTGGGAATTGAACCTAGGTCGGCTGTGTGCAAGGCAAACACCCTACCCGCTGTGCTATTGCTCCAGCCCCAACACTAGTGTCTTCTTTATCTGTTTGTTTAGGGACCACACCTGGCAGTGGACTTATTTCTGGCTCTGCGCTTAGGGATCACTTCTGGCAGGTCCCTGGACCATATGGGGTGCTGGGGATCTAACTCAGGTTGACCATATGCAAAGAAAATGCCCTCCCCGCTGTCCTAGCATTCCAGCCCTACACTGTCTTGTAACATGATTTTGTTTATCCCCACTTTTCAGCAGGTTACCCTAAAAAAAATGGGACTTTAACCATGACCAACTCAAGGTAACATTTGGGCTATTACTTCAGAAGGTGGGATGATGACTAATAGATGTAATTGCAAAAACTAGTCTCTACTTTTATAAGTTTGGGTAATCTCTATATAGGAACACCGTTTTCTATGAGTACTATTATTATAGGCTATAATTACTGTATAAAAGGCCCATCTTGATGCCTCTGCAATTGTCTACTGATCTGAATAGATTCTGACGGAACTAAGCAGGAATAAAAATGCAGTAGTCAGAAAGATAGTACAGGAATCAAGGCACTTTTCTTATGCCCGCTGACCCCAGTTTGATCCCTGGCACAGCATTATAGTGCTCTGAGCCTCACCAGGAGTGATTTCCTGAGCACAGAACACAGAACCAGAACCAGGAGTAAGCCCCAACCACTGCTGGGAGTGACCTCCAAATAAAAACAAATCAAAATTCAGTGATTCAGTGATAAACAACTGAATGTTTGCTTACTTGTTTGGTCTTGCGCCTGGAGCCACACGAAGCAGTGCTCAGGGGCTACTCCCAGTCTCTGTGTGCCAGACCAGGCTGCTCTGTGGGTTGTTTGGAAGACCATGCACTGCTGGGGGGCAGTGGACCAGCATCTGACATGCAAAGCATGGGCTTTCCCCAGACCCATGACTAAAAATTGATTAGATTTTAAAATAGTCTACACAAGTTTCTCCTCTAAGACTTTTGTAAAGTGAAAGGTCAGTCACTGTATTAAATCAGACTTCTGCTTTTCAGCCACTTAAAGTCTTCAACAATGTCCAAACTCTTCAACTCATCTTGCAAATCACTGCCCAAATTCACCTCTTCTCTGGGAAGAAATCTTCTCATGGGAGAAATCCCATGTCCAAGCACACACAGTGAAAGCTGGGAGAACTCCAGTTTATTAATGGGCTGACCCAGAAGAGCTCACGCTCCAAAGGTTGAATGTGAAGGACATAATCTGGGCACCCATTTTATAATGCATCTGGTGGGGTGAGGAGGTGGCCCTTTCAGGCAGCTGGCAGGAGAGGACTAAAGCAGGAATCTCCCACTATGTTATTTGCTAAGCAGGGAAAGAACCACCTCAAGGAGATAAGCACATTCTGAGTCCATTCTTCAATCACAAAGTGAGACCAAGATCTTCCCTAAGCCACCTGAAGCTCAATCTGGCCCCATCAGCAGCCCAGGCTTCATGGCTGCTGGCAGCTCCCGTTCCTCTGAGATTCCTCTGTCAGAGTGGTGAGCTTGGGTTTATTTTCCTTATCAGCTTAAGGACTTCTTCAAGCTTTCTCTCATGAATATAGCCTCCCAATGAGCTTGCACATGTTTTGATCCACTTAGCATCACTCAGCCAAGTAAATCAGTGATTGAATTCCTTGTACACCGAAACCTGTGTCTAATCAGATACACAAATGCAAATGCAATGCTTCTCTAAATGAGAAGCAT